GCCAGTTTTTAAGTCAAGCTTCTCTACAACCGTTATCTCTTTGGAAAGAAGGTCCAATGGGATCGTGTTTCTGAACCAAGGTGACCTGAGTAATATCCAATTTTTATGGAAGCATAATTGTGATTCAACTCAGAATAATAAATGCTTAAAATTGTTAGATGCGGCTGACAATGAAGGAAAGGTTCTATACAGAGAAATGTTATTTGATCTTTCTCATGATCTTATGAGGAAGACATAAATCTTTGCCATTTTACAAGTCAGGAAACTGAAACTCACAGAGCTTAAAGGTCTATCCAATTAGATACAGAGAGGTGGAAAACTGGCATTTTGATTTGGAATCCACAGAAGGGTCTGATGAAAGATACTGCATCTTCTGATCTCCAACAGTCACACGTGATAGTGTACTGGAAAAAATAGGATACCTGATTTTCATTTGAATAAATAACAAGACATCAGACATTATTAATAAGGTAACGAATAAAAAAATTCATTCTTTTTATCCAGGCAAAATTTATTTAAAGTCTCAGTGAGCAAGACAATCCTTAGAACCTTGGGTGTCTTGCATTCACACACTCTCTGCTCTTTCCTAGGGCTGATGGTTGTTGCATGAGAAAATGAGCTTAAGATATGGCTTAGTGTTGGAAAACTTGACTTGCATGCACAAGGCTCTGGGTGCTATCTCCAACACCACAAGAAAAATAAATACTTACAGAAAGTTAAGCTTTCGAGTCTATTGCCCCTTTGGCTATGCTGGTGGGGGCGCTGTCCACGGTGCTGAGCATCTCCTCTCTGGTAGGCATGGACAGTTGGTTCTCTCTCCATTCATCCCAGCCTCAAGTGCCTGGTCTTCAGAGACACGTCATGATCAAACAACTTCTATTTTTTAACTCCAGATTGTCCTCCGTTCTGGAAAATTTGTTGGTTTTTTTTTTTTTTGCAAGAGCCACTTTGAAAGGAGCCTCCTGACTCTTTGGCTTTCCCAAGGACATGCTGGAAATAGAAGGGTTCTGCTTCCTCATACCCCAGTCTGAAATTTGATTTATTTTGTTGGGCCATAGAAATGGAGTTCTCCCGGTTTGACAGATGTAGGGCTGGCGGCCACCAGAAGCACTGCAAAGATCCCAGAAGCCTTCCTAATTGTTCCAGATGGATTTTTCTGCCTCTGGGAGAGGTTGCTGTCTGAAGATTCTCTAAGAAACAAACAGCTTTAAAATGTGTTTTCCACCAATACACAAGTATTAGAGACTTACAGGGACCGCCAGCTGACCTATGCCTGTCTTCATTGGTAGATTTCAACTGAGCCCTTAAGTAGCACGAGGTCAGAGAAATGGAGTGGTACAATAAAATTTCTCAACAAAACCCAAGGTCCATCCTTTAGAAAAGAGAAGTGTGGGGAGAAACTCAGTCACAAAGGAAGGTGTATTCTGAATCTTTCTTTCTAAAATCCAAATTTCATCTTCCCTAGTCCTCTCACAAGTTGTGGAAATCAGTCTTCTGACACTACTCTCCCCAGTTTGAAGGTGTTGGAGAAAGGGACATGACCCAGTTAACATTTCATTGAGAGCCTGTAGGAATAAAGGATCCTCAGAGAGGACTAAGTTTATTTCTCTTTTAATAGTTATCCCTAATTTAGTCCTACTTCTAGGAAAAGAAAATTATAGGCATCCAAAGTATAGACCAATTTTAATAATCAATAAAGGATACGGATTCATTTGCTTTCTCTGAATATCACATACTTCCTAATTATGATCTAAGAAAAAATACAGACTGCAGTTCACACAAACTGCATGTTGAATTGACCTTTCATCCCAGGGATAGAACTAATTTTTTGATGGTGAGTACAAGTACCTTTGCTGTCTTTGGGATTCCATTTGCCAGAATACCTTTTACCACCCTTTAGTTTCAGTTTGTATGTCCTTAAAGCTGAGTCTCCTGTGGTTAGTATATAGCTGGGTTTTGTTTATTATCTACTCAGCCACTCTGTGGGTTTTTAAAAATTTTTTTTGTAGTTATAGCTAGACATTTGTTTATTTTTTTAATGGTGCTGAGGATTGAACCCAGTGCCTCACTCATGCTAGGCCAGCGCTCTGCCACTGAGCTACAGCCCCAGTCCACTCTTTGTATTTTGATTGGAGAATTTAATCCATTTATATTCAAAGACTTTATTAATAAAGATTTACAACTGCCATTTTATTGTTTTCTTTTCTTTCTTTTCTTTTTTTTCTTTTTGTTTGTTGTAGATGGATAGCATGCCTTTATTTTATTTGTGTATTTTTTTAATGTGGTGCTGAGGATTAAACCAAGTGCCTCCCACACCCACCGCAAGTACTCTGCCACTGAGCTACAGCCCCAGCCCCTGTTCTCTTGTTTTGTAGATTCTCTGTTCTTTCTTCCTGTCTTGTTCTCTTCTTTTGTGATTTAATTTCTGTAGTGTATTATACCGTGAATCCTTTTTCTTTATCTTTTGTATATCCACTACATGTATTTGCTTTATGGTTATCATGAAACTGACTCAAAACATTGTATAGCTATATGGGCTGTTGTAAGTGGATAATCACATAATTTCAATTGCTTGTGAAAGCTACACTTTCATTTCTCCTCTCCACACTTTGTTTTTGATGTCATAATTTACATATTTTAATATTATCTATTACCCTTTAAATTTTGTACTTACACTTACTTTAATAGTTCATCTTTTAAACTTTATAATATAAATATAAGTGATTTTTATACTACCATTAGTCTTATGTTCCCAGGGGCTGTGGTTGTAGCTCAGTGGTAGAGCACTTGCCTAACATGTGGAGGCACTGGGTTCGACCATCAGCAACACGTAAAAATAAATGTTCCATATTGGAAAAAAATATTACTTTTACCAGTGAGTTTTATACTTCTATGTTACTAATTAACATTCTTTTATGTTGGATGAACTTCCTTTAGTATTTTTTATAAGGCAGGTCTTCCAGTGATGATTTCCACAACTTATGCTTGCCTTAGAAAGTCTTTATCTTCCCTTTATTTCTGAAGAACTGCTTTGTTGGCTAAAAATATTCTTGATTGGCACTTTTTCTTTTCTTCCAGCCCTTTGCCTATGTCATTCCATTCATTCCTGCCCTACAAAATTTCTGCTGAGAAATCCACTGATAGTCTATAGAGGCTTTTTTGTATGTAAGATTTTTTTTTTCTGTTGATGTCCTCAAGATTCTCTATTTATCTTTGATTTTTGACAGTTTGAAATATATAATGTGATGTAGTATTCTTTGTATTGAATCTGATTAGAGACTTTCCTGTACCTACATATTTATGCCTTTTCCCAGATTTGGAAAAGTTTCAGCTATTACTTCTTAAAGTAAGCTCCTGTCCTTTTCTGTCTCTCTTCCCTTTGTGAACTCCCACATCATGAGAGCTATCACTCTTGATGCTGTTCTATGAACCCTCTTTAATTATTTTTATTGTTTTTTTCTCTTTTCTCCTCAGTCTGTATCTTTTCAATTATTCTGTCTTGAGTTCACAAATTCTTTCTTCTGCCTGGTCAATTCTGCTGTTGGTGTTTTCTACTGCATTTTTTTTTCATTGTATTCCTCAACTCTAGAATTTTCGGTTGATTCTTTTTATTATTACAACCCATTAAATTTCCCATTTTGTTCCCATTTATTGTTGCTCTGATTTTGTTCAGTATTTCCTGGAAGTTCACTGAGCTTCTGTCAAACAATTATTTTTTAATTTTTTGTCAGGCCATTGACAGATCTCCACTTGGGGAGTTGAAGTTACTGAAACATTACTGTGCTCCTTTGGTGGCATTATGTTCCATTCATTTCTCCTGTTCCTCTTTGCCCTATGTTGATGTAAGCACACTAATAGTAATAATAAACAACCCAGGTACTTAAAGATCCAGGTCTCTCGGTTCTATCCTGAAAGGTTCTAACTGGGTAGAGCGGGAGAGGGCCCAGGATTTACTGTTGATGGTACTACAGCTGGTCTGAGAACTGCTCTTGACTTTAGACTTAGCTAAAATGTAAGGTCGTGTAAGAATTTGAAATCACAGCATTAAAGACACTGACATTCTCTCACTGCCTCTCAGACATGCATGTGTTCAGCTAAAATGCACATTTGACAAAAGTCAGCCTGTTGACTATCCACACATGACTGATTATCACAATGAGCCTCTGTGATGGTTGGGGCATAGGAGCTTCTGGTTATTCCTTCAATTCAGAAGACTATCCAGCTAATGTGTTTCCAAGGCAATGAAAGGAATATTTCATTCCAAGGAGCATTTAAAACAGTAAAATTTAATAACCCCTCATGTGCTTTCTAATGTAAATTCCTCATTATTTTTAGTGGGCTTGCTATTTAATAATATATGCACTTATTTCTTCAATGAATATTTTTTGAACATCTACCAATTATGTCTTTAGTTAACATCTGCCTCATCATAAGTGTCTTTTAAAAGTTCCCCCCAAAAAACTTGGCAAATTGTTGGAAAATGATGTTAGAAGTTGTGGGATCCCGTGGGGAGTTAATGCCTTCCACGGCAGTAATTATGATTACAATAAAACATACAGAGTGTTTTTACAATGCTTTAAAATTTTAATGTTTGTAATGATCTTAATGGGATCCAAAATTAAAGAAATTTTACATGGGCACAATAACAAAGCAGTAATCGGAGTCATAGTTAATGAAAATAGAAACTGAATTTTGAAGAATAAGATTTATATTAAACCAACTAATTCGATTCTGATGACAGTCTTCTCTCTCGTGTAGCCACATACTCCCTTAGGACTTCTCCATGAGAAATAAAAGCATATATGAAGCTTAAATAAAGCCCTTCCCAAATATTAATTCACCTTGACGAAATGTGACAGAGTACTATTTTATCTTAATTGGGAGTCAGAGATCATGATCTCTAAATCAAAGAGGACTCCAAAAGATCCACCATTATGCTTTTGGATTTGTATTAATATACTGTCACTTCAGATTATTTTGATTTACTTGTTGATCTTCTGTTTTGTTCTAAAAGGTATTTAAGGCTAACATGTCACATAAAGTTTTTGTTGTTTTTTTTTTCAGTTGTATGGATGAAAAAAGTAGCCAGATTTCTATGGACAGCTTCTCAGTTGACCCAAGTTCTGTCTGTAGATTCACTTTATTTTCTGGAGGGCATTGCAAAGGATTCCAACTTCACCTAAAAAGAAGAAAACCATTGGTAAGGACCACACATATAATTTAAAAATACCCTTGGAGTATCCACAATGTGTGGAACCCTAGGGAATCAGTGGACTTCCTGAAGAAGCTGGGTGTCACTCAGATTTTATGGCACCTACAACTTATGTAGATAGGAGATATGTTATGGAGATAGGAGTTGGGCAGTTGTGCTATGGGTACTCCCATGTTTTAGTATGTGCTAGAGCTATTAATATAATTATCTTCCTCTTTCCAGAGTCTGTTCACCAGGGAAGGACTTAACAGGATTCTGCCCAGGCACATACTCGCTATTCTGTTACGTTTTACATGACTATCCAAAAGTGCCTCAAGGAACTAAGTCACTAAACCCAAAAGAGTGGTTCATACAAATCTCACATGTCAGAATCGCCTGAGGTCTTATTGCCAATAAAAACACCCAAAACTTAGCACAAATTTAGTTTGGAACTTTTTAATTTTTAGCCATCTTCCTAAATGATTCTGGTGCACACTAATGTTTGGGAATGTGTGCTCTAAGCAGATCACATAGCCTAGATTGTCAGATCCCTAGACTAAGGTGTCATGTGATTCCATTCATGCCAAGTTTTCACAAGCCAAAGAACACAGGTCAGATACTCATCATAAAAGTGGAAGAAGCCTTGGGTATCCATAAACCTCCTTCCCTCCTAGATCCAGAAGAAGCAAAAGTGGAAAGATGATGAGGTCTTATATAAAGTCATATAGTTCTAGGGACCCTCAGTTCCTAAACTGGTTAGTTTGTGCTCTTGAAAACTCCCTTATAAATGATAATCTATTTTTGTCTTTTCAGAAACAATTTGAAAAAAATAGCTATGGAAATGGTAAAAGCAGCTATAGCCTCACATCTCTGCCTTACATCCCAGCCTCTGGAGTGCCTGGCGCTTCTTCACTGAACACATTGACACCAAATGAGTGTTTCAAGTGATTTTTTGAAATGAGAAATCACAGGCAGCCATACCTACTGTGGAACATTGTCAGTGATGAGGGCAAGTTCTGTGTATTGGAGGTTACCACAGGCAACGTGAAAGGGGCATTACAGAGACACTTCAAGCCAACCTATCCCTTTGGACTGCACTGGCATTATGCAAGGCAGGAATTCCTGCCTTGCCCAGAATCCAGAATACCTCCCTATGGGCTCCCCTCTTTGGTAGTTCCATCTCTTCATTCAATAGTTCTTGAGTACCTAATATGATTCTTAGGAATAGAGCTATGATCTGGGGATTCCATAGTGAACCTGCTGTGGCTTTCTGCCCAAGTCTAGTTGGAGAGACAGCCAAGTGAACAATTATAAAACAACAGTGAGAAATCCTCTATGAGAGGAATCTCCAGGCACTGGAAGACAAAGGAAGGGCCTCCAACCACTCTTCCTACAAGAAGAGGTATCTACACAGGACTTAAAGGTAAACAGGTTGTGGACATCTCTAAAAGGGCCTGGGAAAAATACTATTTTAAATGAAAAGAATTACGTGGGCAAAAGGCCAGGAACAACCAGAGAGCACAGGAACTAGAAACTGGTCAAAATTACTAGAAAACAATTTGAAGGGTTGGGGGAGAATCAGATATGAAAAAGGTAACTTTGTGATTTTTTTTTAAGAACAGCTTTTATAATTCTATAACCAAGGAAGAGTAGAAGGCAATAGATGAGCTACTGGGGAGCTGAGAATGGAGACAGAACTAGCTCTTTAGGAGATGAGATTCCAGGCAGAGTGATATCACCCAGACACTTGGAGGAATGGGATGGAGAGGCACCTGAGAGTGGCAGACCAGGTGTAGAAAAGTGGTGTAGAGCAAGGAGATGGAAGGGAGTCTCCGAGGGTGAAAGGAAAAGGAACTCTCAAGGCAACCTCTCCTTTTTGCCAAATTCTTCTCTCCCGATGATCCCGGGGCTTACGTGGGGATGTCTCCAAATCCAACATGTAATAAATCTCCTATTGTTCCTCTAGTGAGGTAAGAAAACACAACCCTGTGTTTCTGGGAAAGAGGGGTAACTACTTACTGTTGATGGAGTCCGCCAAATTCTTAATCTGCTGGGTGTTGTCCAAGACCTCGATCCTTTGGGTGTAGGGGTCATAACGCACTGAGAAGGGTCGAGGGATCGTGGCAGCAAAGTTCCTGGAAACCAAAACCCGCAGGGCAGCCTTTGGAGAAAAGTCTCTTTTTTCCTGTGGCATTTCCCTTCGTGGGTAACCCTGACGCCTCACGAGAACAGGGGCTTCCAAAGCCAGGGCTGAGAACCACATAGAGAACTTTAGGGAGATCCTCTTGGGAAGCCTTCATGATGCTGGAGGAAGGTGAGGCTCCCGGAGTGAGGAGGATGGAGGAGAGAACTAGAAATGCCCAGCAGGAAGGACTGAGGGTCCTTGAGTGAGAGGTGGAGGTGGGAGTCATTTTAGAGCAGAGCAAATGGACTTGTGGGCCAGGATTTTACCTTTGATTACTCCAATCTAAGTGCACCAAAGGCTGACATACTCAGCCTCAGGATTCCAGAGGCCTCCATGGCCTGGGTCCATCACCTGATGGTTCTAAGCTATTTCCTAAAAGTGGTGACGGTGACTATCAGGACATCCACGTTGGGTAGACCCTCTGCTCGGCCTGTCTCCTGCTTGGATGAGAACCTGGTTTGAGGGTTGCAGGGCCTGTAGGCCAAGCTCTCAGCTCAGAGGCCCGAGAGCCCCAGAGTCCTGAAACCACTCTGAGGCCTCTTGCTGAACTGCCTCTGGGACTGACCCCTTTCTCTAGTTATCCATTCAATGCCTTTTTCATGTCAGGCACTATTCTAGAGACTCCAGAAAGAGCAGGAAACAGAAAGCACAAACATTCCTTCCTTTATGGAGCTTAAATTATAATATGTTAGAAGTTAAGAAGTGCTAGGAAGAAAAAAATAAATCACAGAAGTGCTGAGGGAACGGTTGGATGGAGATTTTAAGCACAGTCAGGTACTGCATAGACACATTTTGGCCGATTATAGATCATATATATATATATAACAGAGGTCCCAGAAGGTTATCCAGGAACTGGAATATTACTCTTGCCAAGTGACACCATAGCCATCGTAATGTCATAGTCCCACATATCACTTATGTGTTTATGTTGACGCCGATGTCAAAAAACCCACTACTCTTCCAGTCATACAAACGTATAGCAATACAATTGTGTATGGTACAAAATACTTGGCAACAATTATGTTACTATGCTACTTTTCTATGGATTTACTATACTGTACTTTTTAATCATTATTTTGGTGTTCTTCTACTTGTAAAAACAAATAATATTCCGTGTCATGCCAAGCAGCAGCCTCATACATCTCGGCTTTATTGTGCCTCATAGCAAGAATGTTTGCATCATTTTCTCTGGTGCTTGGTTAATCTTGTGTTATTTTGTTCATTTTGGCCTTAGGAGCCATGGGCTGTGCCTTGCATGTGCCATACAGCTGCAGGTTCAGTAGGCTTCACCATCCAGGTTATTATGTATGTACATGTTATGACATCAATGACACAATGACAATCACCTAGTGATGAATTTCTCAGATAAGTGGTTGATTGATGCATGATTGACCATAAGAAATGAAGACAAAGAGATTAAATTTGGGAAAAGATATAAAGGAGGTAAAGAAGCAAGTTATGCAGGTATTAGAAGAGCAAAATGAAGAAGGTATTTCCTGTGCTTGGAAGACTTCCCTGACTGATTTGGTGGGTTGGGTGGGGGAGACTTTTGTGGCCACTCTGCACACATGACTGGATTTGGTGTCTATACGGAAAAGAGACCTGATCCCATCAGAACAGTCTCAGGGAGTCAGATATCCAGTCTCCCAACAGAGAGTGGAAAGGGTTGAGAGGTGGGGAAGTTCTGCAGGCCGACCGCCCACAGATCAGCATCACCAGCCCAGGTCAGGGACTCCCAGAGCTAAGGACCCACCCAGTCACCACCTCACCTCACTTTCTCCTTGGCATCACTGAAACTCTCAGCCACATAATACAGGGGCTGGAACTCTGTGACCTTGTATGTCTGAGTCGCTGTCCTCTCCAACTCCAGGGGGAGGAGTTTCGGCTTGTCAGATAAGCAGTACTGCAGGCACCAAGTGAAAGGCTTTCAGTTAAATCGAGAACAGGGGTCCTGCTCTTCCCACAGGCTATTTGCACATCTTATTTTACCTTGATTCCTTCTACACTCCACCCAAAGGCAGTCAATCACGTTATTTTGCATATACTAGATTCAACCCTTCTTAGCTCATCTAAAACCCACAACCAAGATAGGAAGTGGTAACTCATTCCAAGTACTTTCAAGAAAAGAGACCAACAGACGCTGTGGGAGCCAACCACGTCTTCTGGCATGTGTTTGCATCCATGGAAAGTTGCATACACAGGTCAGTCTTAGGATCAGGAGTTCCCTCCTCCCTAGGGCCCTGTGCATTTGCAGTTGAACTTCTACGTCTGACACCCACAGTCATAATCAAACCATAACTACTAAGGTACCAATCACTGGAGGATGAGCCTCCAATTGAACCTCAAAATGGATACATGTGGCCTCAACAATACCAATAAAATGAGAATGGTCTCCTGTACCCACCACTTTTAAATCCATTCCTGGTTCCTGTTAGGGTCATACCTGTAATTCACCAAAGGATGACAGGAGCCCAGCACCATACGCCTTTATGGAATCCCCTTGCTTGCAGAGCCCAAACTCCACAGTGAACCAGTAAATCTGCAATGGAAAGCCATGCTGAGGGCGTATCCCAAGGAAGGAGAAGGTATCCGATGCCCTAGGATTAAGGACAGAACTGCCCAGGTAGGAGCCTGTGTGAGTCTGTTCTCTGAGTCAGTGCTGCTCGACCTCACTTCTCTGTATCCTGTGCCTCACCCGACCTACTCACCTGATGAATCAGGAGTTGGCTGAGTCCAAGGTATGATGGGAAATACACCTTGATGGGCACTAAGGAAATCTCCTAAAGATAACCCCAATAAATTCCTCTAACATGGGAACCCCTCTTTTCTTTTCTTTTCTTTTTTTTTCACTGTGGCATAAACTATAGTGCTATCTCCCTAAAATGTTCTGAAATTGGTAGGGTTTGTCAGGTGATTCCATCAGGTCTAGCAGTGGGTGGTAGGGGACTGGGTGGTGGTAGAATCAATGAGGGGCGCATCCCATTGTCCATTCTAAAACTTGGAGTGTTGTTAAAGTCAACCACTGTACTTATCTCCACAAATAACCAAGTCCTTTCCCTTCAACAGTCCAACACGGCTTAGATGCTGCCCTGGGGAAAAGTGTCTTGGGGTTCTTGGCTTAGAAACTGGGGAAGGATGTGTGGGAATTGTGGAGTATAAAGGGAGGAAATCATCTACTACGCAGATTTGCTGCGTCTATAGCTTCAGTGAACGAGTGTCATCAGAGTCACATGGGAGAGAGAAGGAAGAGCCCGCCCCGTTCCTACCTTGTGTCTGAGAAAAGAGCCTAATGCTGGCTCCACTATCAAGGTGGAGATGTGAACATTCCCTCTTCAAAGTTGTGAATCCAGACTACTTCACAGCACCAAGGCATTTTGATTAGTATAGCCAGTTGTGATTTTTAAGAACACTCTGTTTAAAATTATGTGTAAACATCTGCATGCAGCTGCCTCCAAAATAATCCAAGAAGGAGAAATCAAAAAGTGAGGCTTCCCCTGGGCAAATGGAACCCACTGCATTCTGATTTCCCACCACCACCACCACCCAAATAGCCTGCCTTCCAGGAAAGAGCAAGTCTTTAAGCTCTGAGGGCCACATCACAGCACTCCCACCATCCACCTGGGGGGAGGAAAGACTCACGGTGGCGAGTTTCTCGATGTACTCATCAGGAGCACCCAAAGAGGCCAGGCCAATTTCCTGCACGGTGGAGAAGCAGAGTCACCAACTCAGCCCATCCCAACCCCTACCTTCCGGTTCCAGGCTGAGGCTTGACCACAGAAAGGTCACGAGTGGCCAGCTGTCTTCAGAAGGGCCCAGATGGATCCTGAGTGTTCTGTCAAGTCTTCCCTGCCCACACCTCATAGAAGCCAAGATCTCTAGAGCCTGCGGAACCTTTCAACATCACTTTGTTCTTTTGCGCTCACTTTACAAATGAGGTACGGAGAAGGGAGGTGACTGTTCATGGTCACACAGGGTGTTGGTATCTAAAGCTTCATCTCTTATTTCCAGTCCAGTGATTTTTTTCTCCCATAGCAAACATGGAACATTCCTGGAGTATCAGATGAGGCTTAATCATGTACCTTGGGATGAGTGTGTGAAACCCTTCCAGGTCTATCACCCAGCTGGAGAGTTTGAAATGTCATGGATCATTTCTCATCACATCTTCAATTGCAGAATTCCTCTCATGGTCTCTTGGTTTGTCAGTGTGTGTGTGTGTGTGTGTGTGTGTGTGTGTGTGTGTGTGTTTGTATGTGTTTCCGACTTCAAGCATTCCTTCCAAAAATATTTATTGAATGCCTTCTGTGTGCCTGACTATGTACAAAATTGACACAGATTCTTGACTTTGTGGTTTGTATATCCATGCATATACATAGATATGTGGTACTCGGAAGAAGTTCTTTGGAAAGAAGAGACAGAAGAAAAAAGGGAGCAGGAAGATTTCAAGTTTCAGGGAGTCTGGGAGAGATGCAACCTTAAACGGGGTTCAGAGGAAGCATCATTGAGAAGGCGGTATTTGGACAAAACTTTGAACAAGATCATGGGTTCTACTGATCTCTGAGGAAACTGCATTGTAGGCCAAGCACACAGACAATGTAAAAATTCCTTAAAGTGGAGAAATATCAGTTGGTTCAAGCAATAGAAAGGGAACCAGTGTGGCTGAGAAAGGATTCAGAGTCAGATTATGTCGGACCATTTTAGGTATTTTAGGGCTTGGGCTTTTCTTTTCAGTGAAATGGGAAGTCATTCCAGGGTTTTGGCCAGAGAAGTGGACAGGATCTGACTTATGTTATCAAAGACTCACTCTGGCCTCTGAGCAAGAATGGGCTGTAGGGGTCATGAATAGAGGCCGGATGCCACTAAGGAGGCTATGATGTCAACAGGGTAAAAGATGACAGTGGGTGACTGACGCAGGGTGCAGCAGTGAACGTGGTAAGACATGGTCAGGCACTATGCCTATCTGAAAAGTAGAATGCACAGAAGAGACTGGAAGATTGGTCGTGTGGTAAACAAAAAAGGAGGTGATAACATTCTCCTGTGCTTTTGGTTTAAGCAACTGGAAGAATAGAGTAGTCATGGATTGATAGGAGGATGTTTGTAGGTGGAAGTTTGGACAAGATTTGAAATTTAGTTCTGGAGCAGATGATGGAAATATCTAATTAATACCCAAGTGGAGCTTTAGAGTGAGCAGGTGGATATATAAGCCTGAGTTTGAGGACTGAAGTCTGAGCTGAGGACATAAATTTGTTCATCATCAAAGTCAAGAAAGTATTCAAAGCCATGGGATTTGGTGAGATCACCCAAGGAATGATCAAAATGGTGCCCAATTTTTTTCATTACCATTCTCCCTGAGCCCAGAGCTGGCCCCCATTATTTCCCTGTGCTCCATCCCAACTCCAAACTTCCCTATAGGGAAAAGCAAGCTCTGCCTTTAGGTCAAAAAGGAATGTTCTCATAGAACTTTGAAAATGTCTCTTTGCCTGTGGATTTTCCAGATCAAAGTTGGAACCATGTGACACTGATGGCCCCACAGCTGTCATCTGTGATACCTAACTGTCCACCCCTCTGTGGGTTCCCCCAAATGGAAATGGCTTAAGGAGGATTGACACTTAGCCTCTCACTTGGTAGAAGAATTCCTGGAGGTGAAAATAAGAAGTATCTACTCTCCAAGGAGAAAAGGGATAGTTCTCTAATATAGTAACCAGTCCCTATTTGAAGCCTGTCCTGAGTAATCAATGCTATCTGGGCAGCTGTAACTACACTGGTAGTGAAAGTGCTTCCAGAATCAAAGTTAACTAAGCTGTACACCCTCCCACTTTTAAAAGTCCAACAATCTCCAAATTCCATTAGCTCCCCAAAACCTCACACAGAAGTAACAAAAGCTTTGTCTATTTAGAGAGTCTGTGTCTTACAAGCACAGTTCTCCCAGACTTAGTAAGCAATGAGTTTGGCTTTCTGTTTTGTCCATTTGTTTCAAACATGAAGTGGTATCCTCTTAATTCATCCGTGGAAATATTTATTTCTTCCAGCTGACAAAAAAAATGATTATAATATTCATACTCAATCCCACTATTCTCAAATTCAGACTTGGCCTGGCATTTCCTCATGGGTTATTCTATTTGATCCTCATTCTTCATTGTGAGGAAGAGAACTGTCAGGGAAGGCTTCTTACTGATCAGATCTGTGCAAACAAAGACAGGGTGCCCTGGCGATCTGTCCCAGGTCACAGAGCTGGGCATTGGTAGGGTTGGATCCTCTGAGTGCATCAGAGCCATCATGCCACTCAACCATGATCCCAGCTACCCCAAGCCTGGTTTTCGGCTGCCTCTCAGTGCCTGGAGAGAATTAGCAGAATATTTTCATTCACCCCCAAAGATTTTTCTTTTGAGTTTGCTCATCACTGTAAAAGATAAATCAAGGTCTAGATTGCTGCTTTGATGATGGCGAGGAGACCCTGGGCTCTTTAATTATTTACATATTTATTTATTTTTTTCAACTATAAGTCAGGTCCTTGGCATTTGATTCTCAATAAATATCATCTTATTTAATTCAAATACATACACCAATGACTGGTGTGTGTACTTGTATGAAAGTCCCTAAAGAAAATGAGAGTGGGAAAGTACCAGGGGAACTTGGAAGAAGGCAAGGTGATGTCTGCACGGGAATCAAGGAGACATTCACAAATGAAAGGCTCTTAAACCACATCTGGTAGGATAAGTAAGATAAGTAAGTTTGACCGTGCACAATATGATTTGGAGGATGAGCAACTCATCCTCGATGATGTCCCTAAAGTGGGTATTTAGCCAACTCCACAGACCCACACACCCATCTCAGACAGGATCACAGGACTCGACCAGGTTTCAGGATGTGTAAGGCTCTCTCTAGGGCTCAGCTCATTTGAGAAATCCAGTCCCAACTCTATAACTAGAAGGGGGAAAATCAATCCATTCCTTACCTGGGAAAATTGGGCAAAGCCGCGATCTGAAAACAAGGGCACATGTCCCAGGAGCTCATGACAGATGTCACTGAAAGACAAAAACAAAGAGTTTGGAGGGGAGGAGGGTTAGGCCAGGCCAGAATTCATCTTTCTACATGAGGAATGGGCAGAAAACAGGTAAGTAACTCCTTTAGGCTAACGCCTTCACTCTCAAGAATAAGTGATATGCAGAGTGTGAGGTCAGTTGAGAAATGGAAGAAGCGCAAGGAAAGTAAGGATCAGGCACAGCGCAGGGCACAGCAGCCAGGGGGCGTAGGGATATGTCCACTAGGGCGTAGGGCAGGACCTAAGAGCCTCTCATACACCTAGGTGAGCTGTGGCTCATAAGCACTTTCCCATTCCAAGTCTTCTGTATGTTCAAATTTGGTCATTTTGGACAGAGAAAATCCTCAGAATAGACAGGATTCCTTCCCTGTTAGTATTGCCATCAAATAATTTAGACAACCACTCCTGAGGTTCAGCCTACAGTGATCCTAAACCTTGTTTTTGGAGCAGAAAGGGTGACACCCACCGTGGCTAGCAACAGGCGCTGGAGGTCAGTACTCACGGTTCAGGGGTGTACATGGGCTTGGATCCGTGTCTGATGTACTGTGTGCAGTGGAACACTCGGAAGGCCAGGCCATTCAAGAAATCTCGGGAAGACAGCAGGCCAGCCACTGGTCGGAGGCGGAAGCCAGTACAACCTGAGAAGCAAAGAACAAAGACTCAAACCCCTTTTCGGAGCAGCCAAAGGGTCCTAAAGACCTCCAGGTAAGAAAGCAGTACATGCACCTGCCCTGCAACAGGTACTCTGATGCCAAGCTGGTTTGGCTTCACATCTCTACACCACTGTTTTATGAATGGCTGACGCGAGTCAAGTAAACACATTTCTGAGCCTCAGTTTCCTCATCTGCAAAATGTAGATAGATAGTGTTTATGGATATTTCAAACATCACGAGAGTGCTAAGTACAAAGTACGTACTTAGCACAGAGCTTAGTTCACTGGAAATACCTAGTATATTTCACTTTTATTATTGCTTGTTAGAGTTGAACACTTACTCACTAATTCTTATTTTTTTTCCAGAGTTGGAAGGGAATTTTCATTCTGTTGCCCAGAGGAAAGAGAATAGAAGGAATAGTTCTAGTTTCTCTGCTGTGCCTCACACAGTCCACCCCAGGAGGAGCTGGAACCTGACTATAGTATTGGGGAAGAAGAAACAAAGGCCGTGACTTTAATCCTTCCCCTAGGGCTCCTTCTTCATTGACTGCCCACGGAGGAACACATTCTGGTCTACTCTTAGCTATGCACTGTGAATTGGCAGGCTAGTTTCCCTAACCAAGGATAAAATTCTGGGAAGTCCAACACAGGATTGACTGGACATCTATACCTGCATATCTTTTCTTTAAAACTGACATTGTGATCACCATCTCTCCAGGTCCTCTGTCATTCAATTTGTTCCATACTTAGAAGGAGAACACTAATCACATTGATAATGATCATAAGAACAGCTAACACTCTACATGACCTGCCACATGCTTGACACTGTTTTGAGAACTTTACATGTGCTCACCGATATTTGCACCGACACTGAGGTAGATGCCATTATTATCCCCCTTTATAGTAGAGGAAGCTCAGACACAGAGATTGAAGCTCTTGTCACACGCCACAAGCCATCTGGCTTCAGAGGCTGGTCACTTAATTATGATTATGTAATTCCCCAAGTGCTAGTATTACTGTTTTATTATTCTTATCATTGGCTAAAGATAATAATCAGCCTCAGAATGTCTTCAGGACCTCCTTGCCTCTTCCCTCGTGTTCACGGTATCTTCAGGCTAAAGCTTCCTCTGGCTCTTCTCTTTATCTTAGGAGACTCTCTCAACAGAAAAGATCCCAAAGCTCCTCTAGCCCAACCTGTCCCAGCTACAACATCCCTCCCTGCCAGCTAGTTTCCTCAGAGTCTGCACAGTTCATATGAACAGAAAATTCTCAGTTGCTATAAACCTGCACTCTGTCTTCCTACCTTTTCCCTCATTCTACCTGGCACAGAGTAGGTATTCAGTATGTGCTGATTGTTTTATTTTGTTTGTTTGTTTGTTTGTTTTCTGGATTAACACCCTCTTTGCAGAATCGAGAGTACCTCTCTCTGAGCCACTCAGAGGCAATTCAGTCCAAATTCCCCCAGCAGCCAACAGTAGGTGCTGCTTTCATGTGCGACATCTTATTTCACTGTGATGACATCCCTGTGAGAAAGGCTAAATGGTTGACATTGTCTCCATTGAACAGGTGGCAACACTGAGGCAGGTTTACCCAGCTAGAGAAGGTCAAGGGCAGGATTCATGTCCCAGGCACAGACCACCCCCACATAGGGCATTTACACAAATACTGCAGCCATCTCCTGAGAGCAAACCTGCAGAGAGAACCCTCACTGGGCACCTTGAGCTTTGAGTATCATAAAAAAATAAAAATTTAATTAAAAAAAAAAAAAACACCCAACTTCAGGGACAGATGTAGGACATTACTACCAACTCTCTGACTCACTCTGGCTTCCAGGTACCACCCCTTCCCGCTCCTCTCCCCCAGCCCTCCCGCTCCCTCAGGACCCTTGACCTTGGTGAGGACTCACTCTGCAGGAACTGAGAGACGTCTTCCAGCTGGGGTATGTTGTCTTCACGGAAGCCACAGTACTTTTCCAGCAGAGGGAAAATGTGATTGTACTCATAGCAAGCGTGGGTTTTATACAAGGACTTCAGGGTCCTGAACACCGTCCCCCACGTGTTCTTCTCTTCCTCCGTGTATTCCACCCAAGGGATGGGCTGCCCACTAGAACACAGACAGGAAACAGGTGTCTCCAGGGGACCCGGACAGAGCAGACAGGGGAACAATGCAGGCCAAGTCACCAAGAGTCGAGCTCCAGGGTTTGTGGGATGCCACCACTGCCTAGCTTCAAAAGTTATGGGAGCAGGGCACCGTGGCACATGCCTGTAATCCCAGCAGCTCGGGAGGCTAAGTCAGGAGGATCGCGAGTTCAAAGCCAGCTTCAGCAAAAGTGAGGCACGAAGCAGTTCAATGAGACCCTGACTCTAAGTAAAACACAAAATAGGGCTGGGGATGTGGCTTAGTGGTTGAGTGCCCCTAAATTCAATCCCAGTACCTACCCTCCCCCCAAAAAAAGTGATGCAAAAGGGGAAAATTCTACGTACTGATATAGAAACATTATCGTGTTGGTTCTCCTGGTGCATGAGAAATTTGATTAAACAGCAATATATGCCCTCACTTCACTGCCCACACTGGGAATTTGCTCTCACTGTGGGAAATCATTTGGTCCTGCTGCTGTTCTCTCTAATTGTTTACCTGTAGGGGCCAGGCAGGTAGCCAACAGGTATAAAGTAGCAGGTATAAGGTGATAAGGAGGAGGGTGCTGAGGCAATTCCAGAATGCTTCCTCTTTCTGAACAAAGATACCTGACTTCAGTTAAAGCTGAACACAGTGCCTTGTGTTACAGCAACTAACGCTATTAACCCTGTGGGCTAAGCTGGATCTGATAGGTGGGTCCTGGGTCATGAGTTTCAAACACCTTTCTTGAGTGGGTGTGTGCCTGCTGAATTTGGTGTTTCTACTCCTGGGAAGTTACAAAGGTATTTACCTGCTAGGAGTCCACAATGTATATATATGTATAAATACTATATATATAAACATATATGTGTTTTGTCAGTACAAACATATTTTATATAGAATGCATACAAGTGTATTGTATGTGTTTTTTATTTAGGAAAAAATTCTAGATTCAAGGGTAAAAATTAAAGAGTGAGACAGGTAAATAAATACATGCTAAGGTATAGCCAACACCGAGCTTGACAAAATACACACGCTGGGCCCTGCCCCACGGGTTCTGAATGTACTGAATGTACGACCCAGACTTTGGAATTCTGATCAGCTCCCCAGGTGACTGATACGTATTTTGTTGAAGAGTCATTTATTTGAAAGACCCTGAGCTGTGTTCTGAACAGTGAAAACAAATGAAAACAAAACAAAGTCTGATCTCAAAGACCAGTGATGTGTCCTGGGCTGTGGGCCTGTTTCCCTCACAGGGGACACAGTCTAGGACAAAGTCAAACTGTTTACCTCGGAATTTCAAATCAGGCTCCAAATTTGATCCCTCCTGCCCTTTCAAAGTTGTAGCACATCCAAGGAAACTAAAGTCAAGTCACTGTTATTTTCTACAGAAATATGAGCAGGGATTAGGGGAAAAGACAAGGTTTTGCTTATGAATTAAAAGCTAAGCAAGCTTGGAGGATCTGTGGGGACCATCAAGGACTGTGAAAGAACATCAGGTGAGCCCCTCGGAATGCACCATTATTTTAGGGCCAAGTGCTGGCACTTGGCGGGGGGAAGGCTTTGGAAATGAACAGAAACTGGTTCAACTCTGGTCTGCCCTTTCCTGGCTATGTGTCCTCAGGAAATTTAATAAACCTCTCTGCATCTCAGTCTGTGCAGCTGTAACACAGGTTAATGGCAATAACTGTTGGTAAAGTGTGGATAAGATTAAGTGAAATACTAAGGGTAAAGTCCCTAACACTGGTACTGACAAAGAGCAACCAGGAGATTGTTGATCATGACCATTATAACTGATTCTCATTTAAAAAGAAAGGCATCTGATATTTCCTTTTTTTTCTTTTCTTTTTTTTTTTTTTCTGTACCAAGGATTGAACCCAGGGGTGCTTAATCACTGAGCCTGAGCCACATCCCCATTTTATTATTTTATATTTTGAGACAGCATCTTGCTGAGTTTCTTGGGGTCTCCCTCAGTTGTTGAGGCTGGCTTTGAATATGCAATCCTTCTGCCTCAGCCTCTGGAGCTACTGAGATTATAGGTGTGTGCCACCATACTTGATACTTCTGCAACAAATTTCAAGAGATAGTAATATCCAAAGCACCAAGATGTCCCCCTGGTCAAGATTTGCTATTCTAGGGACCCAGAATCTGTTCCTTATTCTTTCAGTAAAGTACCCACCTCCCCTGTCGGTCTACAATGTCTGGGTACAAGAAGGTTCCATTCCCCATCTTCGGAGGTGAGTGTTATAACCAGATGTGGCCAATGAGAGAGTCCTGTTCCCTGGTCACAGTGACTGGCTGAGGGATAGACAAGTCCTGGTCAGAGCTGATGAGACTCAACCACGGAACTTTGACTTTGTTGGAAAGAGATGGAACCTCTATTGGGTCAGCCTAAAGGTACTAGGGTCCATCTTCAGGAGAGGTGAGGTCAATGCCCGAAAACCATCTAGTGCAGAGACCACTACAGCCAGAGAGAGAGAGAGAGAGAGAGAGAGAGAGAGAGAGAGAGAGAGAGATTTTCCCTGAGTCCTGGACCTGCCTGTACCCAGCTGTCAGACACCACAGAAGTATTGAGAATAACTTTAGAGGTAAAATTAAAAGCCTAATTTTATCACCTATTAGTTATATGATCTTGACAAGTTACTTCACCTTTTTAAGCCTTAGTTTTCTCATTTGAAAACTTAAAAAAAAATAACATATGCAAAGTGTTTAGCAAAACCCCAAACACACTGTAAGGACATTTCAAATATGATCTGTCCCCACAGACTCTGAAGGAGGACTCTTGCCTGTGCCTGATACGGAGGGACAAAGGTGAGGACAGAGAGAAGTCACCTGTTCTGTGATTCCTGCTCAGCAGAAGCCATGGCCCAAATGGGCTTAGATCTGACCAAGGGCTGCCAGGTTCTGGATCCTTCAACTATCAGGAGTTCTTCAGAGAAGGAACTTTCCCCTATTTTCTCTAGAGGTCTTTCCACTGTTTTCAGGTTAACTAGGAACTCAGTGACCTCAGTGAACCAAGTCCCAGCATCTCCGTTATCTCCATGATAACCTCATCAGAGCTGCTGAAGTACTGTCACCTTAGTACTCTGCCCACCTTTTTGGTCTCTTCCTGTGCATATCTTTGCTCATTTCCTTAACTCAGGGATGGCACTGTCCCTCCAAACATAAGTTTCCCATGGTAGGATCAATGGAGTTCCTGAGGACTGAAAATAGCAGAACCATTCTCTTCCCAAACAACATTTTTGATATTTGCATTCTCTTTTGGCTAAGTTAGCATCGGGGAGGGGCATTCAATCCTGAATAGAGAAAAACATCCTAAAATTGCCCTTCACAGCTGGGTGAGACCAGACAAAAGTGGAACTCTGCTGGCCCCAAACCTCTCATGATTCATTATTTCAGTAAAGCCGCCAGTTCCTTCTTGAATACAAATGATCCTCTTTTTTTTCCTTCAATGTGGAGAAGACTGGAGGCTGTTTCATTCAAAACTGAGACGTTCTGTAATGATTTCAGACATTGTGTCATGAGGCAACAAAGTTTGGGAGAGAACTGAGGCCTAGTGCAGTGGGTGATTTTGTTTTGTCTGGTAGCAATTTTTTTTTTTTAACATGTGCTATTAAAAGGAGGGTCTAAACACACACACACACACACACACACACACACACACACACACACACACACACACACATACACCATGGCACACTCCATGCTGGTATTTTCCAATCAAAAGCAAAAGAGATGTAGGCTAGGGGTAGGCACTTCTCTCTTATCTCTTCTGCAATAGGTGAGACTTACTGGCGGTAGTTGTAGGCAATGTCAGCAAACTGCTTTCTTCTTGCTCGGTACACAGGATCTTTAAAACCCTAAGAGAGAGGAGACACTTGATTACTCAGGCCTTTGTAGTAAAAATTTAGCTTCTCTATAAACACCTTGAATGGGGGCTTCCGTGATGGGCAGTGTGAGTCTCCTTCATCTGATTGCACCCTAAAAATACAGTCTCATTAAACTTAGGGTGAGCTCACACCAAACACTCTGAATGACAAGTTATCAGCAGTGCCTTCAATTAGGCAAGACCCACCCTGCAGTGGGATTCCAAGGTCTACAGGAACACTCTGTTCTTAAAGAAATCTCATCCACAGCATTTTTCCCTTCTGAACCTGCTAAGTCAGGCAAAGATACTAGGATAGACAGCCGGCTTGAAGATCACAACCAGCCCTTCCTTCCTGAGCGTGTTCAGCATGGCTTCCTAACTGCTTGACAGCTAAATAGGTACCTGCTTATAGCAATTTTTAAAGATAACCTTTATTGGGGCTGGGGATGTGGCTCAAGCGGTAGCGCGCTGGCCTGGCATGCGTGCGGCCCGGGTTCGATCCTCAGCACCACATACCAACAAAGATGTTGTGTCTGCCGAAAACTAAATAAATAAATAAGTTCTCTCCTCTCTCTCTCTCTCTCTCTCTCTCTCTCTCTCTCTCTCTTCTTTCTCTCTCTTTTAAAAAAAAAAAAAAAAAAGATAACCTTTATTGAGTTCCTATTACGTGCCAGTCTCTGTGTGCCAAGGGGTTATTGTACCCACAACTCTGACAACAAACTTGCCAGGTAGACCAATACACTCATCTCCTTCTTTCTAGAATAAACAGCAGCTCAGAGAAATGGAGTCATAACAAAGGCCAGGCCAGGACCTGGATCACTCAGTTCTAAGCCCTTTCCACTGCACTCCAGTCTCTTGTCAACCTTTACAACCTGGCAGGGGCCCAACCCACTGAGAAATCCATCTCAGGACATCAAAAGGATGACAAAGGCTTCTCCTCTGAGGCTGACCGTCAGCCAGTCTTTTTAAACAATTTCCAAGCAGAACATTTCCAAGTGAACAGAGGACAAGCATGTCTTCAAGTGCTGGGGGGTGGGCGGTAGGGCACATCTTGAGTGGGAAATGATTGCAATTGATCAAAAGGGCATTTTCCAAAAAAAGTTTACTATAGTCTGAATTTTGGTGAGACACAGACTGGTACATCACCTCAGAACTCTGCTTGGTTCCCTCCAAGCATTTCCCAGTAAGCCTCACAGTCCACCACTTTCCCTTGCAATTCTCTGTCCCAGTGACCCCCAAACCACAGCATTAATGAATTGGAAGTTAAGGCTTATAACATGAAGCTCAGCATTTAAAGAAGTTTTTTTTTTTAAGATAAATTATTTCCTGATTTTCAAATATGGCTGTTCTTTTGTTTGCTGGATTGGTTGGCTGGGTTTTTTTTTTTTTTTTCGTTATTTCTTTCTTTCTTTCCTTTTTATATCATGGACAACCAATAATCATGAAGAAGCAGAAGTCAATGAATGCAATGAAATTTCCTCAGAGGGTCTGGAACAGAGGATCTGGCATGAAAAAGGAACTACGGACACCTGCTGATGGACAGAATTGGGGGTAGGAACCTACTTTGTTAACTAGGGTGAATTTTGAGAAGTTGAAAAATCCAAATACTTCATAGAAAAGCAAATAATAATAATAATGATGACTACACATTTTAAAACGACAAACCCAACTCCCAGTTACTACAGTAAGTGACTACTGAGTTTAGAAAAGATGCCATGGGTCTGGAATGTCCTCCTAAAGATCATGGGTTAAAGGCTGGGTTCCTGGCTGATGGTGTTACGGGGAGACAGCAGAAACTTAGAAGGTCAGGCCCAGCCAGAGGACGTAGGTCAGAAGTGTACTTAAGGGATATAGCTTGTCCCCAGCCCCTTCCCCTCTAGCCCCACCCCACCCACCTCGACTCACGCTCTGCTTCTTGACTACCATGTAGTAAGTAAACAGCTTTCCTCCACCATGCCCTTCCGCCATGATGTCCTGCCTCACTACAGGCCCAGGAGCAATGGAGGTAAGAGACCATGGACTGAAGCCTCTGAAACCATGAGCCAAAAGAAATCTCTCTTCCTGTAAGTTGATTTTCTCAGGCGTTTTATCAGAGCAACGGAAAGCTGACTCTCACGTGGCATGGTGATGATGATGTCTAACCCTATTGTCTTCCCTGGAGAACTGACTGGTTTGGAATCATTAGTTATAGATAGGGAAGCTTAGGAAACTGGGAACTTGAGACTACCATTGGGTTTTCTACCATTGGTCAGAGATAAGTTGGTGTAAAATAATCTTGTAAGAAAATCTGGATTCCTGGATTCCCAGGTTTTTTGTTTTTGTTTTTGTTTTTGTTTTGGGAGGCTATTGTGAATAGTTTTCCTAATGTCTCTTTCAGTGGATTCATCACTGATGTATAGGGATGTGTTTCATTTATGGGTGTTGATTTTATATCCTGCTACTTTGCTGAATTCATTTATTAGTTCTAGAAGTTTTCTGGTAGAAATTTTTGGATCTTCTAGATATAGAATCATGTCATCAACAAATAGTGATATTTAGTTCTTCTTCTTTAACTATTTGTATGCCTTTAATTTCTTTGTTTTGTCTATTTGCTCTGGCTAGAGTTTCAAGGATGATGTTGAATAGATGTGGTGAAAGATGACATCCTTGTCTTGTTTCAGTTTTTTAGTGGGAATGCTCTCAATTTTCCTCCATTCAGAATGATGCTGGCCTTGGGTTTAGCATATACAGTTTTTACAATGTTGAGGTATGTTTCTACTATCCCTAGTTTTTCTAGTGTTTTGAACATGAAGGTGTGCTGTATTTTGTCAAATGCTTTTCTGCATTTGTTGAGATGATCATATGATTCTTGGTTTAAGTCTACTAATATGATGAATTATGTTTATTGATTTTCGTTATGTTGAACCAACTCTGCATCCCTGGGATGAACCCCACTTGATAGTGGTGCATTATCTTTTTAATATGTTTTTGTATGCGATTTATAAGAATTTTATTACCTATGTTCATCAGGGATATTGGTCTGACGTTTTCTTTCTTTGATGTGTCTTTGTCTAGTTTTGGTATCAGTGTGATATTAGATCATAGAATGAGTTTGGAAGGGTTTTCTCCTTTTCTATTTAATGGAATACTTTGAGGAGTATTGGTATTAATTTTTCCTTGAAAGTCTTGTAGAACTCGGCTGAGAATTCATCTGGTCCTGGGCTTTTCTTGGTTGGTAGGCTTTTGATGGTGTTTTCTATTTCATTGCTTTTTTTTTTTCAAAAGTCAGTGCTTAAAAATTTTAAAAAGCATTTAGTTGTGTGGCAGGATTACAGGACCCCCAATGCTATGCCCTGGAAGCATAACTCCTACCTACCCCAAGTAGTTTCTCTTCCTTTGATGCCCTCAGCTCTCTATTCCATTACTTGAAATTGATCTGTTGAAATCATGTATGACCTCCTCATTCAGTTAGGTCATATGTCTCTAGAAATGTGTTGACATCTTCAGTATTTTCTATTTTATTAGAGTATAAATTTTCAAAATAGTTTCCAATTACCTTCTATATTTCAGATGTGTCCATTGTGATATTTCCTTCTTCATCTTGTATTTCAGTAATTTGAGTTTTCTCTCTTTTTCTCTTCATTAACATGGCCAGGGTTTATCTATCTTATTTATTTTTTCAAAGAACCAACTTTTTGTTTTGTCAATTCTTTTTTCGGTTGTTTCTTTTGTTTTGATTTCATTAATTTCAGCTCTGATTTTAATGATTTTCTTTCTTCTACTGCTTTTGGTGTTGATTTGTTTTTTCCCCCCCTAGGGCTTTGAGATGTAGTGTTAGGTCATTTATTTGTTGACTTTTTATTCTTTTAATGAATGTTTCAACCTAGGTGTCCCTCCATAGATGAATGGATAAAGAAAATGTGGTATATATACTCAATGGAATATTACTCAGCTTCAAAGAAGAGTGAAATTATGGCATTTGCCAGTAAATAGTTGGAGTTGGAGGATATCATGCTAAGTGAAATAAGCCAATCCCACAAAACCAAAGGCCAAATGTTTTCTGTAATATGCAGATGCTAGTTCACAATAAAGTGAGGGCACTGGGGAAGAATAGCATTACCTTAGCTTAGGCAGAGGGAAGTGATGAGAGGGGAGGGGAGGGGAGGGGATGTGGGGATAGGTAAGGTAGTAGAATGAAACCGACATTATTACTATATGTATATAAGTGACTGCATGACCAATATGATTCTGCAATATGTACACTCAGAAAAATAAGAAATTATATCTATGTATGATATGTCAAAGTGCATAAATATAGTCCACTGTCATCTATAACTAATTAAAACAAATATTTTTTTAAAAAAACAGAGAATTAAAAAAAGAAAAGAAAACCTGGAATCGTGATTTGACTTCCAAGCAATATTAACATGCATACAAGTAACCCATCTACTGGACTAAACAGAGAACACGTATCTGTGTACATGTGCATGCTTAGGACTCAAAATGTACGTTTAAATATAAATTTAATATTTGTCATTCTTACTGTCCGTCTTAATAGTCAGTAGAAATGTCATTTCTAGTCCCTAGCTATAAAATGAACCTTTGCTCCAGGCACCTTGGGGAATGTGTGTATATTTTGATCTAGAAATGAGGACAATTAATCCCACTGGGCCATTTGCTAAAGGGTCCTTAACTGCAGAACCAGCAACTTCATCAGGGTTTTCTGATCCTACCCAGGCTGGCAATTGAGATTTGAGAGCTGAATGAGAGGATCGGGGAAGCAAGAGAAGAATTCCTTTAATCAGTGGATCCCCGTCTCATGCTGCCTCCAGAATAGGATGCCTGTGGCTATGTCTCTTCCCCACCTGGCTCCACGGTTGATCTATAATATGCTGTGTGGCCTAATGTTTTGCCACCTGTGAAAACAAAAGCTTAATACAAGTTGTATGTCTAGCATCAACTGTGTCAGAGGGAAAATAAAATTATATAAATGAAATGGTGGAAAAAATACAC